TGGCATATATAACTAACAAAAAAAAGTATTATATACAAACTAACAATTTTTTCACTTTTTCTCTCTCTTTCGTTTCCTATCTCTCTCTAATGTTTTGGGTATATTATAAATTATATTTTTTTTTGGGTTATTGTTGCAAATGATCCTAAAATAGAAGACAAACTTTAGAGACTTAAACAAAAAAAATTGTGCTTGGTAAAAAATTGTTTTTAAAATTTTTTATTTTTTAAAGCCTTAAATGTGTCTTGTCAAGCACTCCCATATTATAATAATAACAAGAGATGAATAGTAATGAAGTGGTGGTGGCCTAGTGTAGATGTCGTGTAGCCCATTCAGCGGATTTTCTAAAGGGCCTAAAGCGAGACACTATTTCAACATGAGTTCGATTCTCCCCAGAAATATTTTCACCTCCATTTGGTCAGTTGAAATGGTGTCTCGCTTTAAACCCATTAGAAAACCCGGTGAGTGGACTACTCGATGGCTACACTCTTCCTGAAAGATTAGTTATTGTGCCTAAAGCTTGGAAGTATCGAATTCTGAGTATCTACTATAGTCCAAAATAAAAGTATCAGATTTTATTTGCAGTTTCACATATTAACAAAGAATTTTGTGAGAAACACTAAGAAATTTACATGTATGACCTGCAAAATTTCGTAAACATGTTTGTCATATATGGGTGTCATGATTCGTTTGAAGAATCTAGGGTGCCGAGTTGTTCTGATAAAATCTCATGTTGTTGGTCAGACCTTCAAAACCGATTTCGTAGAAACCTGTTTTTTTCGGTCGATGATCGACGGTAATCCTATTTGGACAGGGAGTGGGATCCCATTGCTGCCGCGGCTCTAGCCAGTGCTGCCTCGGCTCTAGCCAGTGCTGCCTCGGATGTTCTCATAACCTACGCAGGAGACATGAGCAAATATGATCGGAAGCTTGCGAATCATATAGATCTCTCTTGCAAGAGACTAACCACAGTAAAAAATGAGGTAGCCAATTGGAACCCTTTCGTTGAAGAAGCTGGAGAATCTTCTGGAGAGGCTTCTGAAGAATCTTCTAGAGAGGCTTCTGGTGCAGGTAAGAGGCTTCAATCTTCCTTATGTTTCACTTATTAGCTCAACCATCGGATGTCTACTTCGAAAAAAAATCAAAGTGGTCATTAATGAAACATTTTGTTATTGCATGTGACACCGTGGTCATTAATGGAATTCATATTACTTGAGGGCTGATAGTTCTTGTAAGTTCAATAAGTCGTCTGAGATTAGTCCAAAAATTATGGTAAAAAATCGTCTTTAGCCTTCTTTCCAAGTAAGAATGGAGCAGTTCGTGCACACGAATTGCACTCTTAGCACCTCCCGACTGAACCATTTGATTGCATTGACAAACGTGTGGTCTCTTAACATGGCTAACCTTGAGGACGGACCCATGTCAATCACATACTCGAATGGATTCCTAGACTGCAAAATCTTGTTGTTGGTGGTGAGGGGGGGAGTGATGCAGCGAGAAGAGGCTGTTGTGGACGATGTGATTTTGGACCCAAAAAAGTTTTCCTCTAATTATCACTTGATCCAAGAAACCCACATGAACTCGCTCCCAGCAAAAACTAGCTAAATAAGCTTGAGTCCAAATACTTTACTATAGTCAACAAGTCTTCTCAAACCCAAAGCTCCAGCTTCTTTTGATATGCACATTGAATCCTAAAATTGATGGCATTTCTAGTCGAATATGGAAGTTCACTTTAGAGAGACATTGCAAATTTTCTCCAAAGCATATAAACAACGTTTTGGTAGAGGAAAAATGATCCAAAAGTTGGTAATCATTAATTGGATTAGTTGTGATTGCCCTGCAAAAAACAAATGTTTAGCTATCTAGAATGAGATTAAAAAAAGTACCTTATCTAGTAAAAGTTGATAGCCAATAGGTCTGAGTTTATGGAGATATAGTGACAAACCCAACTAATGAACCAGAACCACTTAGTTTGTATTCGATGATGTCATCAAAGATTTTCGCCATTTAAAAAGTATGATGACTATTCAAATCACTTATTTCGGCTTTTGTAAAAAAAGCTTTAGAATTATGATGATTCTGGTTGTTCCGTTCTTGTATATCGACATAACTGCACATTTTCAAGATCTCCTCCACCAACCCACTCTTCTCGTTTAATAACTCATCTTATAACGACACTAATATAAATCACTTCACTACATAACGGTTTAATAAAAACAGTAATCTGAATAAAAATATAGTATAATTCATTCTATATTTATTACTCATATTAGCTTTAAAGATAGGTATTTGTGTTAATTTTTTTTTTTAAAACAATTTCTTAGTAAAAAAAAAGATTTTTGTGGTCTTAAAGATTTAACGTTTTTCATACAAAGACAAAAGCATTAAATATATTGTTTGGTGGTTCTATCCTTCTTTGCTCAATCTGTTTTCTTGTGGGCGGCTGATTACAAGTAATGTCATGTTATTTCAAAAAATTTATATGTTTTTGAGCTAGTTGGCTTCTCTATTTTGATAAGAAAAAAGTTTTCTGCATTTTCAAATCATGTAGTTTCTACTGATGATACCTCTTCTATTGAGAGAAATCAGAAATTTTCTAGATTTTCAAATCCTGCAATTTACTCCCAGTGGAAGATTTTAATTCCACCTTCGTCCATCTCGTCGAGACAGGTCGTATCTTCTTCCCTCTTCTAGAGAGTAGTCGAATTCCCGAGCTTTATGCTGGGACCTTCAAAGTCACAATTCCAAGTGACTACCCTAAGACTCTCCGGCTTTGCCGCGAATATCTTATTGACGAATCCGAGATTTGTCTGGGATTCGCTGCCCATCTTCTACGATGATTTATCTGCTTTAGATTTTATTGCATTTCAATTATATTGTATTAATGTTGGAGGATGCTTAATTCCTTCTCTTTATATTTTGATCGGTTAAATGAATGAAGTACGCTTGAC